CCCCCCCCCCCCAACCTCCTCCTCCTTTCCCATTCCCGGCTTTTGCCGGAGGCTCCGGGATGATGAAGCGACGCTCTCCGGGAGCGCAAAACCCGCCCGCTCCCGCTCGGCTCCTTGCAAGCGCAGCCCCTCGCTTCGCTGTAAAACACAACCCTTCATTTATGCGTTTTTCAATAAATAAATAAAAGGGGAGCGGCTTCGGCGCGGGACCCCCCGTCCTCCTCGCGGCGGCTGGAAAAGCGCAATTTCCGAGAGAAAGGCTCGTTTTGATTAAATCTGACACGCCGCTGATAACTCCATGCTAATGCGAAATAATTAACATAATAGCCATAATTAAAAGCACGCTAACAATGCCATAAATTTATCACGCAATTTTACTAGCTTTCTGCCCCCTAACTGCTCTCTCATCGTTAATTAAACGTGTTGCCTTTTGCGGAATGGGTGTTTGTACATCTCCAATACAAATAAATCCGGCGCTGTTTTGGAAACGCGGCCGATTTCGTTTGGGGGGTTTTGTTTTTGTTGTTTTATTATTATTTTTTTAATGCCGGGGTCGCCCTGCTTTACAAGTGAGTCGGGGAAAAATAAAAAACACTGGTTGCAAATAGCAGGTTTTATAGATAGATAAAGAACATCTATAGAAGGGGATTGGAAAGCTGCATATTTTGGGAAAACACCAGGCTGGTGCGGGGGGCGGCCAGGCCCGGCTGCTCCCGCTGCTCCCGCCGGCCCAGGGATTTGGGGATTTCCCCGCTCGGGTCTGTTTATTTTGCCAGGATTTCGCACCTCCCTCCCTGCTGCTTCGCGAGCGCCTCTGTTCCCCCGCACGTTTATACCCGGCCACAGCGCAGGTTTAATCCAGGTCAGGTCAACGATTTATATAAGTCATTAGTGAAAGTAACCGGCTGGAGGCGAGGGCAGGGGGCACCTCTGCTCTCTCCCGCCTTTACAACGAGTAGAGAAGCAGGAATTGCCCCAGCTCTGCCCCGCCACGCCGCAGCCTCCGGGTTTATTTTTCTCTCGCCCCCCGGCTTTACAATCGCAGAGTCAAATCGAGTTGCAATTAATCCCCCCTCTCGATCATAACTTATTGCGGCTCTTCCCCCGGTGCGAGCCGCGTCTCTATCTGACTCCATATCGATCCGCGGGTACAGTTTGTTTTTCTCCTGTTGCTAAATCCATCTATCTATCCATCCATCTATTCATCCATCTATTCATCCATCTATCCATATTTCTCTCCGCTCCCTGGCGCTGTCAGGGCAGCGGTTCCCACCTCTGCTTTTATTATTTTAGGGCCAAACTTCTAGCTGTCTCCCCCCCTCACCCCCCGCGTTATAGCGGGGAAACTTTGGGGTCTGGATTTCAGCGGGGCGATTTCCTCCTTCCTCTCTCCCTGCTTCGGCTGAGGGGAATTGATGGTTTTAGCAGCAAGGATCCTTCGTGTCCAGTCCGACCCCCACGAAGGGCTCCTAAATCCTTCCGTAAACTTGGCCCGGGCATCTGAAGTCCGGGGTGCGGAGCAGCTCGGAGGGAAGCGCCGCTTTCCCACGCCGCGGTACCGTAATTAGCAGCGCGAATTAATTAATGGACTTTATTTATTTATTTATTACGGTGTCGAGGAAAAGCGCAACAAATGAGCCGGGGGCAGGGGGCGCGGAGAGAAGCGCAGCGGCGCAAGGAGGGGACCTGGCACTGCGCTGCCGCGGAGCGAACCCGGCTGGAGCGGGGCGCCGATTTGCGTTTTTCTAAACGTCCAAAAAACAAATCCACACATTGGAAATTGTTCGGCAGCGCGACTTTTTTTTCCCCCTTCTCCCTAATTCATTGTATTTACTTAAATCCCCCCCAAAACGACAACAACACGTGCGGCCATCGCAATAACGCGGGGGGCTGGGGAGGGGGTGCGTTTCCGATGGGCCCCCGCGGTACAAAGGAGCCCGCGGCCCCCGCGCCCCCTCCGCGGCCCGCGCTCACCTGGGGCCGCCCCGAGCGGCCGCGCATCCCCCCGCGCTGCCTCATTTCCGACTTTTTCTCATGCTAACGCCCGCAATGATTAAGTCGTTAACACCTGGGGAGGGGGGGACACAAATAAATAACTACATACATACATACACAGAAAAAGGAAGCGGCTAGAGGCTTCTTTATTTATAGTTTCCCTTTGTTATTTTACGTCTTTTTTATTATTATTTCTCTCCGCACCTAAGCTAATAGATTAATCGATAGCCATTTTCGGACCTGCCGTCGGCAGCTGGGGCTAGGTCTGGGGGAAAAAAAGAAAAATAAAATAAGGCAGAAAAGTGAGTTCAGAGCGCGGCGGGTGGGGGGTTAAGCGCTCCCAGGGGGGACGCACCCGCTCAGCGCGCTGCCCCGCGGGGAAGGCGGAAAAGATAAATTAAAAAAGGAGGAAAATATGGCAAAATATAAATAAATGAAGACCAGGGCAACGCGCAGCTTTGCGGCTTTCCATGCTCCTCGGCCCCCGCGGGCGCGCCC